ACCTCCAAGGAAATAGAAGCAGTTATTAAGTCTCCTAATTTAAAAAAAAGCCCAGAGTCAGACAGTTTTAGTGCAGAATTCTACCAGACTTTCAAAGAACAGTCAATACTAATACTTCTCAAATTATTCCACAAAATAGAAATATAAGGAACACTGCCAAATTTATTTTATGATACACAGTCACCCTGATTCCCAAACCACACAAAGATTATCAAAGAAAGAGAATTACAGACCATTTTACTCCTGAACATTGATGTAAAAATGCTCAATAAAATACTTGCAAACTAAATCCTAGGACACATCAACAAAATTATCCTCCATGATCATGGAGGCTTCATCCCAGAGATGCAGGGATGGTTCAACATATGAAAATGAATCAGTGTAATCTACCACATAAACCAACTGAAAGAAAAAAAAACCCTACGTGATCATCTCATTAGATGCTGAAAAAGCCTTTGACAAAATCCAAAGTCTCAGAGAATCAGGAATACAAGGAACACAGATAAACATAACAAAAGCAATAGCCAGCAAGCCCAGAGCCAACATCAAAATTAAATGGAAAGTCAAAGCAATTCCACTAAAATAAGGAGCAAGACAAAGCTGTCCACTCTCTCCATATCTATTCAATATATTACTTGAAGTTCCAGCTGGAGCAATAGACAACTAAAGGATACCAAGAGGCTACAAATTAGCAAGGAAGAAGTCAAAGTATCGCCATTTGCAGATGATATGATAGTATACATAAGTGACCCTAAAATTCTACCAGGAAACTCCTATAGCTGATAAACACCTTCAGTCTTCAGTGAAGTGGCTAGATAAAGATTAACTACAAAAAAAAAAAGATCAGTAGCCTTCCTATGTTAAAATGATAAGTGGGCTGAGAAAGAAATCAGAAAAATATTACCCTTCACAATAGCTACAAATAATATAAAATATCTTGGGAGTAACTCTAACCAAGCAAGTGAAAGGCCTGTATGACAAGAACTTCAAGTCTTTGAAGGAAGAAATTGAAGAAGACATCAGCAAATGAGATTTCCCACACTCATGGATTGGTAGGATTAATGTAGTAAAAATGGCCATCTTACTATAAGCGATCTACAAATTCAGTGCAATCCCCATCAAAATCCCAATACAATTCTTTACAGATCTTGTCAGAACAATACCAACTTCACACAGAAAAACAAAAAAGCCCAGGATAACTAAAACAGTCCTGTACAATAAAAGAACTTCTGGAGGTATCACCATCCCTGACCTCAAGCTCTACTACAGAGCTATTGTAGCAGAGGCAGGTGGATCTCTGTGAGTTTGAGATCAGCCTGGGTTACAGAGTGAGTTCCAGGACCCCCTATGTATAGTTAAGAGTTGTGTAGCTTGGTCTTCTTGTGGGACTCCTAACAGAGGGAGCAGGGCCTGCCTCTGACTCTTTTGCCTGCTTTTGGGACTCTTTTTCTCTTACTGGGTTGTCCTGTCCAGCCTTAATAAGAGGGGAGGTGCCTAATCTTATTGCAACTTGATATGCCATGTTTGATTGATATTCCTGGGATGCTTTGCCCTTTTCTGAAGGGAAAGGAAGAGGAATGGGGGGGGGGAGGAAGGTGTGGAGGGGGGAGGGACTGTAAGGAGAGGAAGGAGGAGAAACTGTGGTTGTAATGTAATATGTGAGAGAAGAATAAATAAAAATAAAACCAGAAAAAAGACAAAATTTAGAAAGTTAAGTAGATCATAAAAACTCAATAGGACATATAATCAAATGAGACCTCTTTGGAAATGCCTTCTGATGGGTAGAAAAGATTTTGGAGGCTGAATTATAAACAAAATGTCAATCACTTTTAGTAGGTTAGTAAAACCCATAATTAGACCTGTGTAGGCAGAGACAGAAACGCTGGACCATCCGCACCTCAGTGTGGTCAAAGATCACAATGGACAAGATATTAATAAGAAGTGGGCAGGATGTTAGAACCCTGGAGGGATTCCACTCAGTGGTAGGCACTCCAGTGAAAATGGTTAATGTTAATAATAAGAAAAAGAAACCAATATTGCTGTAGCATTTCTTTTTCTGCTGCTATTCTTTATTTCACATCTCGGGTCTTCTTTGAGATACATACAAGTGGCACGTAAACAAATTCGGAGTCTGAATAGTGGCGTTGCATTGAGACAACAGCTGGATTCTTTGTTAGGTAAAAAGCTCTCAACTGGGGGATCCACAAGGTGGCATGATTTGTGGGACCCCTTAGATGTACCTTGCCCCAATTAATATCATCATGCTACTCACTATATAAAAGCCCAAAGTCATACTGTTGAACATGCTGGGGTCATTTTCAGGTGTCTGAGTCAAAACCCAGCCCATTGACTTCATCACAGCTTTCTTCCATGTGGCATAACGAACTTCACTTTCCTCAAGGTTGATCTTAGGTTCATACTTCTGCATCTGGACGACTGACAAGTCCTTGGGGTCCAGGCTCCACACGCTAACCCCTTCTGCAGCCCCTGCTGCCATGGCGGCCCCCAGGGCAGTTGTTTCCGGCATGAAGGGTCTCATCACTGGAATGCACAGAATATCTGCTTGCAGTTGCATAAGGATTTTGTTCTCGGTCATCCCTCCGTCTACCTGCAAATGTTTCATGGGTGTTCCACAATCGGTATTCATGGCCTCTAAAATCTCTTTGGTTTGGAAACAAACAGCTTCTAATGCAGCAAATGCAATGTGGCATTTATTGGTGAACTGAGTGAGTCCACAGATGATCCCTCTGGCACTGGGGTCCCAGTAAGGTGCATATAACCCTGAAAAAGCTGGAACAAAGTAGCAGCCATAAGAAGTGCCTACTTCTCCAGCTAAATTTTCAATTTCCCTCGATGCCTTAATAATTTCAATATTGTTTTTTAGCCAGCTAACAACAGCACCAGCAATACCTATTGAACCTTCCAGTGCATAATAGACAGGTTCCTCTCTGCCAAGCTTGTAAGCCACTGTGGTCAGAAGGCCGTGTTCAGAAGCTACACACTTTTGGCCTGTGTTGCATAGTAAGAAACAGCCTGTTCCATATGTGTTTTTGGCTTGTCCATCCTGGAGGCACAGTTGTCCCACCAAAGCAGCAGACTGGTCCCCCAGACACCCAGATATTGGCACACCTCCCAACGGCCCAATTTTCATTAGGCCATAGATCTCAGAAGAGCTCCTGATTCTGGGAAGGATGCTCATTGGAATTTTAAAAAAATCGCAGAGCTCTTTGTCCCATTGCAAAGAATGGATATTGAAAAGCATGGTCCTGCTTGCATTACTTACATCGGTACAGTGGACACCTCCGTTGATGCCTCCAGTCATATTCCAGATAAGCCACGTGTCGACCGTCCCAAAAAGAGCTCTGCCGTCTTCGATAGCCTTTTTCACTTTCCTCACATTGTCAATGAGCCAGCAGAGTTTCACTGCACTGAAGTAAGTGCTGATTGGGAGGCCCGTCTTGGTCTTGATAAAGTTATTGCCTTCTGAAATGCTTTTGTTGAGGGTCTCCACAGTGGACTGCGTCCTTAGGTCAAGCCACACCAACGCGTTGTAGAGAGGTTCTCCAGTTATCTTGTCCCAGACTATAGTCGTTTCTCGCTGATTGGTGACACCAATAGCTTTTATGTTGGAAATCTCAATGCTCTTCTGTCCAAGTTTCTCACATGTTTTCTCTATACAGTGGTACACAGACTGCAGGATTTCCATTGGGTCTTCTTCTACCCATCCTTCTCTGGGCAGCTCCTGATTTACTTCCACTTGATGGTGATCAAGTAGTTCAGCTGTTTTGGAATTGAAAACCAAAAAACGCGTTGAGCTGGTACCTTGGTCCACTGCCCCCACCAACGGCCCCAAAACCGCTTTCTTAGCGTCTGCCATGAATCCAGCTTTGGTGGCAGGTTATCGCGTCTGGTTTCCTTGGTGATGACAGTGGGCGGGGGAGGGGCCGGCACGAGATCAGAGGCGATTGGCTGAACCTCTGACTTCCTGGTAACTACCTCATCCATGGCCTTTCCTGCTCTCCAGATGCGTATGACCAACCGTGGATATAAAACAGGCATCTTAAACTTAATTTGTCCAAAATTTAACCTGAGATATTCCCTCAGTTGTCCTGTGTTATCAACTTAGTAATCAAACTTTCTTTTAATTCATCCAATTGCTCTGCCAATATCCTAGCAGATTACGTCTATTCTCTTAAATCTCACAGTCCACCAGGAAATCCAGCCAGTTCCCTGTCTAAATGACTGCTGCTTACCAAATTTACTCCCATTGTCTTGGTACATATAACAGTGTCTTCCTGGCTGGTCATTCCCCATTCTTCTGTTCTAAAAAGGGTTTCTATTCAAGCTCTAGGATGGAAAGATTTCCTGAAAATGAAAGTATGATCATGCCCTTCATTGTTCAAATTCTCCTCATTGTTTCCCATACATTTACAAGAAAATTCAATGTTTTTCTGATTGTCTGGAGGGTTCTAACTAGTGAAGTTTCTGGGCATATCTTCTGCTTCATTTCCCTCTAGACTTTTTGGATATACTGGATGACCTGTCTTTACTTCAGACCATGTGTCTCAAAGCACCCTCTCCATGCCCCCCCACACACACACCACGACTAGGAAGGGCTTCCATTCACTTTTTTAAAATTCTGTGCTCAAACATCTCCTCCCAAGACACATCTCTGCCCATCGTGTCTGAATTAAAGTCCCAACCTTTCAGCACAGTTCCTTTCTGATCTGTTTTGTTTTTTTCAAGGAAAAGTATTTATCTACCCCCCCTTCCATTCCTTCAATGAGAGCTCCAAGAGTTCATGGGGTTTTGTGTTTTTCCATGGACTGCCACATTCCCAGTGTCAGACAGGGTCTGCAGCATGGTGGGTCCTGAAGAAATATGTGTCTTGTGAAGTTTAAAAATTTCACTATTTATTTCTAGAGAATCCTGTGACACACTCTCTCAAATATTTGACATCTTTCCCCAGGACAGAATTAGACATATAACTCACGAATTCAGGCAGTTGTGTGACTTTCACAGATGAACACACAAAGAGCCTGCCTACAGTGTTTTCTCTGACCCTCTACTGTAGAACCGACAATGCTGTAGACAAAGGCTGCCCTCTCAGCCTGGGACCCAGAGAAAACCTTGTGGAGGAAAACTACAGTCCAACCAAACGTAAATAAACATTGTAAATCAATAAGCATTGCTGATAAATAAATGTTGCTGTGTTGAAGCATTGAGATTTGGGGACTATTTCTATAGGTATAAATAGTTAGGCAACCACAGGCAAAGGTAGGGGGCTTGGCAGTCCCTGACAATCTGACACATTCCATAGGTTGCTTTAGCTGGCTTTTCCTATTAGCTTAGCACTTTATGACTTCAATATTTGATTTTTAAAAATTAAAAAATATCAAAGCAGCAGGATATTTGTTTTAGTTCAACCAGAGACCATTATCTTATTTTCCCATATTTTCCGAAAAAAAAAAAAAAAAAGCATTCTGAGAGAAAGTAACTGAGTGTCTTATGAACTCAAAAACTATTTACCAAGTATGGCATATTTGGGCTGGAGAAATGGTTTAGCAGGTAAAGTTAAGAGCACTGGCAACTCTTCCAGAGGGCTCAGGTTCAAGTCCCAGCAACCATATCTGTAACTCTAATTCTAGAGGATCCACTGCCCTCTTCTGGCCTCTGTTGCTACTGCATGTATGGTGCATAGGTACACAGAGAGACAAAACACTCATACACATAAAACAAAAATGAATCTTTTAAAACAGGAGGAATTCTGTTTCTAAGAGAACAAAAACAAAAATATGAGAGACTTGGAAATAATACCAATTCTCCAGATTGACTGAATCTGATGAATCTCTGGGATGAGTAGTACACACACACACACACACACACACACACACACGTATGTGTGTATTAATATATATAAATTTATATATTCAAACTTTATTATGAAGTACCGACAAATAAAGACACCACTCAATGAAATTAACGAGATCCAAAGTCTGTATTTCAACGAACTTCTGTATAGTTAAAACCCAATCTGAAGCTGGGGAACTTCATGTTGGATTTTACACTTATACTAGCAAATGTATTTTTATGCACTTATCCATCAAAAAAAAAAAAGAGTACTCCGTAGCAGAGTTAAAACTAGAAAAACAATTAACTTATCTTTTCAAAGTACCCAACTGAGTCTAACAGAGCTAAAAAAGCAGTACTCAGAGTAAAAGTTGTTTTATAGCAATGAACCATCCAGAATTGTTTTACACCACTCCATTAAAATTCACACAACCATAGAACTTGTACAGTTGGTTCACAACACTTAATCTTCTCAGTAGAAAAATTTAAGTCTATCTAGGTTAATATCTCTCTAAAGATAAAGATACTCGATTTAGTTTCACCTGCCATCAAGTGGAAATAGCTTACTCTAATATTCTCCAGGAAGTATGCCTTAGATCCAGTCTTTTAGAAATAGATAAGAAAGCCATCTTAATGTAATATAGGCGACAGGAGACTGACTTGGACCCAGCAAGAGAAGTTCCATCATTATTACAATATAAGACAGTTGCCTCCATTATTTTACCAGCGGTAGTTTGGGGGGTGGGGGAGCAGTCTTCAAGAATCCTACAGGAAAATCAAGGTCATGTTGTTAGGTGGCAGAAGCACCCAGTGTTGGATGGGAAGACAGAAACTGAACACCATGTAGATATCTCCAAATGCTGGTAATACAATAAAAGCTTGATATATATGCATTATGCCCACAGTGCCTTCCCTTACAAAGATAAAGAAGTGGTTCAAAATCTCTTGTGCTCATGGTGCCTTCCCTTACAAGGATGGAGAAGTGGATCAAAGAAAATCTTACAGCCCCTTAACCTTTCATTTGACCTTGATGACAGGATTGAAAGCCTCTTAAAATGAAAATGCTAAAGGAAATTAGGGTCAGAGAGTTAGAGAAAATAATATTCATCTCATGGTGCTCTGAAAGGAAATCAGGAATCTTACACTTAGGTGCATTGTAGTCACTTTTAGCAGCAAGAAAGTTATACCGACCTATCACTGTTCAAAGTAAGCTATGGAGTGAGGGTCATCAAGCCAGAAGCAATAGCTGCAAGCATTGTGGTTTTTTGGCTAACAAGGATCGGCTCTGTCCACTTGGCAGAAAGCCTTGGTCTCATCCAGATGCGCATGGAGTGATCAAGGAGAAGCAGATGAACATTTACTACTGCTGACTGATGAAGAGAACTGGTCTACACATTCTTTGCCTTCATTTCTAGTAACACAAACACTGGTGAGGGTTTTTCTTTCCCATGAAGTAACTAATTACTAGGTAAGTTATTTTAAATCCCAGCATTACTTACTACAAAGAAAAAATAAATTCCTTCTGGCACTACCTTCAAAGAAAAATTTCAACAGGATTAAGTTCCTTTAATCTACATGCACATAATAACAGCCTCTAAAAAAGTCTTTGTCAAATCCCTCTCTGTCTCATCTTTTCTCCATCCACACTCAAAAATAGCCCTTTATACCCAGATTTTATGGCAAAGCCTTTCCAAAGTACAGTTTGGCAATTTATGGGCATAATTTAGAATAGTCCAAACACAAATAAATTAATTACATAGAAAACCAAGGGACAAACACACACTGCTTCAGGAACGTTCAGAAAAGGTAAAGACAGGCAGATCTTATTATCAGAATAGTTTTAGTAGTTCCAGAACATCAGAGAATCCTGTTCAGCAAGTTTTCAGCTCAAGTAGTGTATATGCATTCATAAGAAACTGAATTACGGAGGAAGTTTGGTAGGTTCCTGCTCTTCTGATTTTTTTTTTAATTTACTAAGTTAGAATCAACTGTTGTTTTACTTTTTCAAAATGATTCATGTTTGTGTGGCCTTGTTTTTAATTAATATGTTAAATGCTTTTCATTGCAGGCTTTCGTCATCTGAGTACGGTCCAAACATTGCTGGGAAGAGTGAAGGAATCTTCCGTGTTTAAATCTACTTTGTTGCTTTGGGACACGAAGTGCCTGTTCATTTTCTCGGACTCTCCAGCTTCTAATTCCCATGTAATAACCAACAAACTGTAAGTTCTCCTCCAAGACTGTCAGTGGAACAATGTTTTCTTTCTTTGGATAAAGCTTCACGAATCCTTCCCCCAACCCACTTTACTCAAGGGAAGTGTTATTTTAGTTGGGTAAATTTATGAAGAACATATATTTTAGTACTTGTTCTTTCTTTCTTTCTTTCTTTTTTCAACTTTCTTTTTTGAGTCAAGGTCCCATGTATCCCTAGGCTGGCCTCAGACTCCATATGTAGTCAAGGATGTCCTTGATCTCCAGACCCTCCTGATTCTAACTCCCCAGTGCTGGGATTACAGGCGTGTGTCACCACTGTCACATTTAATTTTTATTTCCTGTTTAGTTGCTGGATACACATACATTAGCACACACACAAACATGTGGAGGAAAAATGCTTTGTAGTCATGTTAACATATGAAACTTTTGGCATTTGAGACAAAAAATAAAATTACCCACCCTCTAATATCATGTTTCTAAAGTATTTCTGAGTGTTTATTTTCTTCATAGTTTTCTAGTATTCATAATTTGTATTTTATATAGAGATTTTTAATATGTTACTTTCCATTAGTGAGCAACTTACCTACTATCAAGAAACACACCTGTTTTATTCATATCTGTGAAAAATATTTTTAATGTTAGCACATGAGCTTATCTGAATAAATGAATGAGTCAGGTTGGGCAGTCGGTCATTATAGTGGGAACACACATACATTTCATGTTCTTGCTAAACACAAATAGCCTTAGCCATTTATAGGGGTTTAATCCTTGGTGTATGATAACATTTAGAAAGTGGTTTAAGGGTTGAATTCTTTATTGGCAGTTTTTAAGAAGGTTCCATAATAATGATTCAAGGGAGCATAATTAAGTGCAGTTCTTTTTATGCACTAGTATCGAGATGGTCTCTGAAATTTTGAGAGACAGTGTGCCACCCTATTTGCTTTGGTAAAGCATAATCTTGGTCAATGTGTGAAGATTGCTTGCCATGGCTTTTGTACATCAGCAGATAGTTTGGGATCATACATCAAAAAATGGAGAAAATCTAAGATTTTAGCCTATATGCATGTCTGTTGAATATCACAGTGCTACTGGAAAAAGACATAGGTTCCTAATCAGAGGTAAACAGTTTATCACACACACTAATAAGGAACATATTTCTGTGCTGGTGGCAGAGTCCCAGTCCTCCAGATCAGTGCAAGGAGAGCCATGATGCTCCTGAAGCTATGGTTGTTACAGAACAGAGATTCTGAGCTCAGGGACCCTCAGTCTTTCACAACAGAAGTATTTCCCTGATGTCTGCTCAGGTGGGCAATGGCATATCTTCCCAGCTACTCACCATACAAACATCCTTAAATACATGATCTGGACAACAGAGCCATAGGACTGTTATTTGTAAGATGTACAGAAACATGACACACACAGAGAATTATCTCAATGTCAGGTGTAGGGAAATCAAGGGGCATTATTATGTTAACTGGTCATGGACATAAAACTAAAACCCAAAATGGCCTTCAGTAGTTCACATGACTCATATGCTACCATCAGAAGGATGGGACAATGTTATGAAGACCTAGAGCCTAAAAGCCAGATGAGAAGGAAGGAGGAAGAGGGCGAATACCTCTTCTATCAACTGCTGTGTCTGATGGAAAATAAGGATTGATGCAGAAAATAGAACAAGATGAGTAAATGGATAGAGGTGTGTGCGTCTCTCCTGTCACACTGTATTGTCATTTGGAGCAAGTTAAATGATTTCTCTTTACTTTCATTTATTCTTAACTAGATCATATAAAAACCAAACAGCACTTTCAAAGGCCGCCTGATCTCTGCTTAATACACAGCTACGTTATTATTTTCATAGGCCAGAGAAGGACCCAAAGCAAGAGGCCAGACATGCCATGGATTGTAAGGGAAAGAAAGGGCAAGGAAAAGCCATTTTTCATCATTTATGTAGGGGCTTTTCAATGCCAACAAGGAGAGCATATGAATGGGGCTCATACTTGTTCTTGTATTTGTATCTATACTAAAAGTAAACAGTAGTTTTAACATTTGGAGTAAAAGAGAGCCTTAGTTATGCAGGAAGATTATGTCTGATTTTTTTTTTAAAGAAATCCTAAGTTGCTTTTGTTGTTTAGGAACAAAATGCTATAAAGCTCTTGGAGAATTATAAACTGTTTCATTCATCATTTATTCATTCATTCTTTTATTCAGACTTGGCATGTCCCACAAATTCTTACTAATCAAAAATTAAGATAATTGCCTAAGTTTCATTAGAAAGTAGCTGCAGTGTTTCAGACATTGAGACACTCATGAACTGCAAACCCCAGAGGAAAGAAACTGTACTGATGAGAATGTTTGCTGTGAGGTGAAGTAGTCCAGAGAGAATGGATCCCAGCTACTTCTGTTGGCTGCTTTTCCATCTGCATCCCCTGGAGAACTAAGGGATGTAGCTTGTGCAAAGACTAGATTCCAGGGACAAGTGTTCCTTTACTTCTCCAGTGCTAGCTGACCCCCTCTATCAGTTCCTTCATCAGACACTATATATGAATATACTCAATGATTTTTCTAGAATGCCATTTGCTGTGTGCTACACTTCACATGAGTTTTGTCATTAATTTCTAGCAACAGTTCCTTGAAGTGGCATTACTAATTTCATTGTGTAGTTGTAAAAATGGCTGGAGGCACTAAAGAACCAATGCAAAGTCCCCGATTTGTAGAGATAGATATGGGATGTACATCCAGCATCTACATCTGCGACAGATTGATTCTTCTAGCCATTCTGCAATGTCTCATGTGTTCTGCTCCAAGAAATTATGAGAGCACCTGATGTAGCTGATGAGTCTGGGAACTTGGCCATTTCTCACAATAGACACCAAGTCTCTCTTCAGCTCTCCTTACTGTCCTAATGACAAATTTCAGTTATCCCTACCTTTCCCCATATTTCTGAGTTCTAATCTTATGAGGTCTAATTTTTCGTAAATTTTCCAAGTGCATCCTCCTGCAGGGCTTGACACATGTCAGAGATCTTAAAAGATGCTTGTTGATCAGGCTTGCAACTTAGATGATTCCCATCTCAGTGGGCTTAATAGTGTCCAAAACACTCATTACCTACCTACATCTTGCCTTAGGATGTCCCCTCTGTTTTTTCCTTTGACTAAGTGAGGTCCCATCTCTATAAATTATAGGATCTGCCACATCTATACATTGGTCACTGATAAACCATGCCAATCTCATCAAATTCGCTTGAACTAATAGCTCTATTATAAGAACATTTTGGAAAATTCACCCCTCCCCGACTACACACACACACACACCAAGTTTTACTGTACATTGTAAACCAGTACTCCTAGAACTGTTCAAACTAACCTCATCTTTGCCAAGATCCATTAAAAGTATTCTTAGATTTGCAAGTGACTTTTGTCAAATTAGCACCATTATCATAACAATTGTCATGTAGTAGGTGATGCTCTATTACTTTCAGTGCCAGACCATTAGAAACACCTTTGTGACAACAGATAAGAAATCAAAGGAATGTTGGGAAGAAGAAACGTCTCATAAGTTTAGAGAAAAATTCATGTGTGATATGTAAGTTGTTCCTTGGAATCACATCAGACGATTCACAATATCCAGTGATTAATCGTCACTACAGTTCTCATATCTACTTAGCCATGCTTGGCTCTCTTGACTTCTGTTTCTCCTACTACCTCCTCTTCCTCTTTCTCCTATTCTCCTACTTCTTCCACCCCTTCTCTTCCTGTTTTTCCTCCTCCCTCAATAGAACATGTTTGTCAGCTCCTATTCAAGTCTGCCGCCACTAGTGTCCTTGAATGCGAGGACCTGACTTCTTGTCTGCTTGTCCTAAGAAAATGAGGCCTTCCTTTCAATTCTCCTTCCTTCAGAGACTCAGTGCTCTTGTGTAAAAGACTGCAAAATACTGAGATTTTCTTCATGATCCCATGAGTTTACTCTTGACTTTGCCTCTCGAACAAATTCATTTCAAACCAATGATCTCACATGTAGTAGAGTCAAGGAAGGAATTTCACCTTTTACTCATGGCACTTGTAGTTCAGAGTCCTGAGTGGACTTTTAGAGAGTAAACACATTCCAGACAGAAATACTGGAGTATAGAATGTGGGACAGCATTGATGTACTCTACACATATGTAGGAGGAGTTTTTCTTTTTCTTACTATGTTTCTGGTCCTATTGCATTCCAAGACAGGAAGCAGTGAGAAGACAAGAAGGAGAGCTATAAAACTTCAAAGCCCACCCCAGTGACCCACTTCCTCTAGTAAGACTCCATCGCTGTAAGGTTCCAGAACTTCCACCATGGTATCATCAGCTGAGAACCAAGCGATCAAGCATATGAACTTGTAGGTGAAATTTCACACTCAAACTACAACAGGACCTGTCTCATGAATGAAAATTCCTGAAAACAAGCTGTCACTGAAGAGGCTGAATGACTAGAACTTCAGGATGATGGAGAGGTTGGAATGTTACAGGTCTAGAAGATTACTTCATCTTGCACTAGCTTCAGATCCTGGAATAGCCATTCCTTGACCGTATGTGTCAGAACTAACATCCTGTGATTAACTGATCAAAACCTAATTGATGGGGATCTGTTGACTTAGCAGGCCCCCTGGCTTCCTCCAACCCAAAAGATAAGAATACCATAAGATAGAATGTTAGGCCTGTAGAAAAGCTTCCCCCATCTTCCTGTAACCACCTCTCTGATGTACCCACCAATGTATTTTAAGCTTGCCTTGATTTGTGACTTTCTTTGTTTTGGAAAACTATGAAATTTCATGAAACTGCTTCTACATCAGAACATAGAATTGGGGGTAACCTCAATCTGTGATCCCAGGCCATGGTCACTCAAAATGGCTCCAGGATAAGTCACTCCTATTCTCTTTAAGATGAGAGCTGTGTGTGTGTGTGTGTGTGTGTGTGTGTGTGTGTGTGTGTGCGCTGATACTCATGAAAATTCATACCTGCACACTTACTATTTTTATTAGAGAGTTAGTAAGGTAACTCAATAGGTAAACCACTTGCTGTCAAGCATGATGACCTGAGTGACACCTGGGACCCACACTGTGGAGCTGGAAATGAACCAGCTCATGCAAGGTGTCCTCTGACTTCTACATAGCAGTCATAGCATACTTGCCCACACAGAAGACAGACAGACAGACAGACAGAAATAAAGGAAGGAAGGAAGGAGAGAGAAGGTGGAGGAATATAGTGAAAAAAACTAATTTAAAACGTTGCCATTATAGCCCTTTCACTAGCCTCTCCATTGAACTAACTGATGGCCTGGGTTTCTCTTTTCCAATCTACCGAGCTAGCCTTTCTCTCCCAGGTGTTTACAGTCTTCACAGAGCGCTCTGTCATTTGGATATGCATAAATTCTGTCTCATAAATTAGCAATTAAACATAACATTTCTTGGTTGGAGCATTAACGCGATTGATTTGCATGCCTCACTGATGGGAGCTGATGAAGGAAGACCCTGGAGTCCTTGTCTTTTTCCTTTGGCTCGAGGGCCAAGACCGTGTTTGGACTTTCTAGTACACTCTGCAATGTGTGCAGAGTGTTGTGCATCTTGAAAATGTACAGGACCCTCAAAAACATTCTTAAGCATGTATTCTATGCCAAGATGTGTTCTTGGCACTGAGGTTTCAGTGGCAAGACACAGGCCCCACAGTGAAAGCGTTCTCGTTACAAGAACTAGAAGTTGTTCTCCTGTTCTTTTAGACATTTTATTGGTCATTATCTAGCAACAACAGTACTCAGAGAAGTTCAAATAAATAGTCAAAGCCCACATCCTCCTTCATAGTTGTGCTGTGTTGTGGTAAAGGGAGAGGTCTACGATGTCAGTGACTTTACACAAAGTTTGATCACACTCTTCACACCCTGATATGGGTATGATGGCTCCTCTCCACCTACCACCTGAGCATGTATCTCCCCCCCCCCCAGTTAAGGAGGGAGTGTAGTGTATGCTGTTTCAGTTTCCAATTCAGTCCTTGGTTATGTTCATTATATGTGCATGGCTATGTCAGGCACATGGACTCAAGTGGACTGTTGAGGGTCCTGGGAAATGTATGAGAGATACTAATAAATAAGCAAGAACACTAGTGTTCTTTTCAATAGTACTCCATATTAGTTGAGAATTTCTTTGCAACATACCTTGTTCTGAGCACTTGACACTGGTTACAACCTTGTGAGGCAAATCCTGCCACCGATTCGCTTTATGGACCCAGAAACCGAGCCCCAGAAAGGATGAATCATTTCTTAAAGGCCCCGCACATAATCATGGATGGGGCTAGCGTTTTTAATCTCAGACTTTAATTTCCAAAGTTTTCTTTGATTCCACTAACTGTGTTTTAAAAATAAAAGGAAACAAAAACTAAAACCCCTCGATGAAATGCTTGCCTTTTTCTCAGGCCAAATTCAGGGAAACACCCTGCAGGATAATCCCTTCTTTTAGTTTGAGTGACCAGAAACACCACTCTGTCCCATCATAGCAGCTTCCCACCTCCAAATCTGTTTCCTGAGCAACCTCTCTGCGCTCGCTCCCTCTCTTCTTTGAAGGAAAACACTTGTTGTTGTTTATAACGAAGTAGCTCAAACATTTCAGTGAGCTCCCTTTGAAGTAACAAGCTGAACTTAACAATTAAGCTGAAAGCCATTTCTGCTTAAATTTTACTGTTCTTTTCCAACTTAAAAAACAAAAAACAAAACAAAACAAAACAAAACAAAAAAAACAGTCTTTCCAATGGCTAGCCTGAACAGAGGCTACTGAAACACCATGTGGCTTATGTAAAGGTGTGTTCAGTGACTCGGGAAAGTGAAGTACTCCTGGGCTTACATTTTATGTATTGCTTTCTTCCTATCCAACTTCGACGCCTCTCACCCTTCTTTCCATGAGAACCAAGAGACCACGGAACATTATATGTGCCTTAGTGATGGCTTATGTAGCTGAATGACTGGAAAGCTGGACCCAAAGGGAAGCCAAGAGCCTCTATTGCCACCTGCTGGGCCCTGTTCTCGCATCAGTCTCTCTGCTGGACCATCTCTGGTTCCACATTTCTGCCTCCGGCTGCTTTTTGTCAGCTAACTTTAGCTTGCTGACGTTTGTCAGTGTTTCAGTTTCAATTTGGATGGAAAAATTCTGACGGAAAAGCAACAAAGAGTTTTAGCCTTCAGCATCAACTACTCTTTAAACCCACCCTACTTCATCAACAAGAATAATAGCTAACCACTTCCCCACAATGCTTAGTGATCGCCAAGTGTTTTCCATTAGACCTAAGTGGAAAAACTTCCCAGGATGCAATTTTAAGGCAGTGACATATTATTAATCAAATGTGTTGATTAGCCTAGGACAGTAAATAAGTGAACTGTTTAAAACCTTCTTAAAGGGCCTATCTTTATTTTACAGACCGATATTGTTGGGGATGTTAGGTTTCTATTCTTTTTTCTTTTAAGAAATGAGGTACATTTCCAACTACATATCAATTTACAATGACATCTACCATTAATTGCATATGCCTTTATACCTTACCCTTATATGGAGGGGAGAGTGATAAGACTACATTCATGGTCTTATCGCTTCTCGGCCTTTTGGCTAAGATCAAGTGAAGACTACATTCATGGTCTAAAGTGAAGCCTTGCAAGTATTTCGTAAAGCATTTGAAAGAATAAATAATTCAATAACATGCAATATGAGTTTGAAAACTGAACACAGGCTCTTAGTATTCAGAAACTGTCTGAATGTGAAGCTTTTACCATCCCCAAACTCCCACTCATGTAGTCAACAACAGCCATGGCTAAAGCAGACTAGCATGGTTGAGCAGAGAGAGTTTAGGGTTGAAGATGTATAATTTTTAAACACAAATCCCATGCTGTGTCTCCAAAAGGAAGGGCTCCACTTGCAGATAAGCTGGAAAGTCCTTGAGTAGTTGATGAGTTGGAGTCAACAGAAGTCAATATCTCAGCAAAATTATTCATATCATTTGACAAAATTGACTCTAAATTTTGGCTAGAAGAAGAAATGACTAAGAAAACTTAGGAAAGCACTTAAAATAGAATCTTCCCAGAATATATTTTAAGGATATGACCCTGTATGTACAAAGAAAAAGATTAGAGGAGAGTAGAACATTCCAGGTGGAGCCATTTATATAAAGGATAATTAAAACTATAATAGTAAACTTCACTGGGTATAAAAGTTATATTCCTACTGTGTATGATAATTAAAATCCTATGTGAATTAAGAATTAAATATAAAAAAATAAAATTGTTAAAAGAAACTTAAATAACTATACAGTTTGGAGATAGAGGTTGGTAAAGCTTGGTTATCACACTCCTAAGACAGAAAGCAAGGATCTAATCTATTTTACTGTGTTGAATGTTGGACTGGCATGTGATCTCTAATTAGGCAGTGTTTTTCACACATAGTATGCCTACAGAGGGATCTAAGGGAGACCTAGGAGGTTCTCTTTAATCCTCCACCGCACTTTACACCAGAGTTTAGAAATGAAGTGAATGATACCAAGTGGCCTGAACCTAAGTGAGGCCCTTCAGGCTCTCGATTGGGCCTCACCCCTTCTTCTCATTCCACATCCACAGAGCAGCCTCCCTCCTCCCAACACCTCTGCCTTGTCATAGAAGAAACTTCTAATCGGGAATTATGAACTACTGTTCACTAACAGACCACCAGGTACATACTTCTCTGGAAGTGTATTTTAAGCAAAACTAGAAATTCAAAATTCTCAGGATATCACGGTCACTTTTATCCACTGATAGATATAAAAATCCCCTAGATTTTACGTATCTCAAACTCAACACATACCAGCCATGCTGTGTGTCTCCCCATTGTCTTGCCAGCGTTTGTTCTCAATAATTATGTGTTGGGAAAGCTCATAAATTGCTTATACTTAAAAAAAAAAGAGGGGTGGGTGGGGAATACTAATTCACATGCCCAACTGCCTAAAAGCAAGCACACTTGAAGAAAAATATTTTTGCCTGAATTGCTATGTTCTTTCTGCTCAGTATATCTAGATAGTTACATTTTATGTTGTGTGTACATTTTGTTAGAAAACTGGCCAAAACATTGCCTGTCATGAAGCCAAATTGAAATCTATATGCTAAATATTTATGGTTATTCCTTCAGAAAGTTGGCAGGGAAGAAAGAGATGAAAGGGTCACATTTTATGACTTCAGAAGTAAAGGCAAGTCCCTTTTATAGTTCGCTATCACTAAATAAATAAACAAACAAGCAAATAAAAGGAGAAAGAACCAAATCTTGGCCTGGCATTGCTGTGCCTGGGCCACAATGATTTGTGTTGATTGCTTCTAAATGCTGCCCTCTTCTGGGCAGAAAGTGCCAGAGGCCTTATTAGCAAGTCTGTGTGAGCACTGGAAATTAAGAGAGAGAAAGAAAACCAGAAAGGCAGACATATCCTCGTGGGCCTTTCCATTCATTCTCCGACACTTTTTCGACTGTAGTAATTTTGTCAAATACTCTCCAGAAAGGAAACTGGCAAGTCATACAATTTGTCCAACTTGCGTTAAGTACCTCCAGAAAGCTGGGTCCTCAGGAGACACGAAGCCACCACTGATATTCCTGTTGCCAATGCTCCTCTCCTTTCTGTACACATGTTTTGTACTACCATTCACCCCTGGCCCTTGCGGTTCCAATTTACTGTCTTCTGCTGGTCTCACAGGTAACTGCCATGCTTAGCATGCCTCCTAGTAGATGCCTCAGAACCTTTTCTGTTATCCCATTATGTAAGGATTTTCTTTCCTCTTTGCTAGAAGGCGTATGGATTTGTTTTTCCCCTTCTGCGTCTAAGTACTCCCACAGTCTGAAAAGGTGTTTGTACTAGTAGTTGAACAG